CAGGTGGGGTGGGGAGGAGAGCCCAGCACTGGGACGGGGAAGAGAGAGCCCAGGGCTGGGGCAGCAGGGGGTGCTGGTGGGGGAGGGCACTGGTTGGGGGGGGGGGGTGAGAGCCCAGAGCTGGGGTGGGGGGGGGCAGCCAAAATTTTTTTTGCTTGGGGCGGCAAACCTTCCACCACAAAGGGAAACAGAGCCTCCAGAACACAAAGGATTCTCCACAGGTTTTAATTTTATTCACTAAGCACAGCTACTCCCTCTTAGGGATGCCAGCCCATTGCTTGCTGTATCTGCAGCAAAAACCCAACTAGACTTTTCTTTCTTGGGTAACGCTAGGTAAAAGGTACACTGGTTTGAAGTGAGGGTAGATAAGGGAGAGAATTTGAGATGAAAAGGCTTATTAGCCATCTAGTGTAATCTATCCATGGGATTGTTTTCTCGGGCTGTATCCAGTCTGCCTTTATATATTGCACGATTCATTTTCTTTGCAAGGCTATTCCACCATCTAATAGAACTCACACTTGGGAAAGTTTCCAAACATGGTGCACATGGCGGGAAGTGAGGAGAGAAAAAAAATGTTCATTCTGTCCTAATTTCAGATTTTTATCTTAAATTTATAGCTCCAGTTTTCTCCCAGCCAGGCTGTTCTATCCAACACTCACTGAACAGAGCAGGAGTGACTAACTGCAGTACTTACTGGGAAGCACTAAGAGGGAGCTTAGAGAAGGCAAATCAGACCGAGGAGAAGAAGAGTTGGCAGGGGGCTGGTCTACTTGGGGAGTTAGTGTAAATGAAGAACCCAAGCTGAATCCACCGATGGCTTGCAGTCCTTGTTCCTCAGCATCTTATGGCTGGCTTAACTAGAAGCGTGTGCTCCTGGTGTGTCCAAAATCTTGGTTGTCTTCTTTTAGTTTCAAGTGTCCAACTTCATAGCTACCGTTGACATTTTCACAGGACCTAATGAAAGGGAATATGGTTAAGTACAGGAAAAGGACACTTTTCGCAATTGCAACAGCCGTTCCCGCTTTGCCACTGGCTTGCCATGGAACCATGGCCACTTTCCCCGTAGCCCAGCTCACACTCCACTTGCCCCAAACACAGCCTACCCTGCGCCACTGAGAGCATATATACTTTTCCACAGTTCTTCCACTGCTCTCTTCAGCACCTTCCAACCCACAGAAGAATCTCAATTTCATCCCTTCTCCCTTCCCTGAACAAAGTCACAGCCCCCTTCAACCTGCTGGACCCCACCTGCCACCACCAGAAGATGGTGCTCACCTCAGCAAGCAGGAAGCCTCATGCTCACAGCCCGATGGCAAAGTTGGAAAAGGATTGGGAGCGGATTCCAGATGGGGCAAATCAAGACTCACTTTGCACAAGAGAGCCAATCAGGCATGGGTGGGGGGGCACATGTGTTTCCCCATGGGAAATCCTAGGAAGTTAGTGCCCGGATGAGAGGCACATAAGGATTGGCATTTCCCTACAGGTTGGCCTCCCCATTTTCTATAACACCTAACTCCCCTCCATACCCCCACAATCAGAGTGCTTAGCCTCTTCCTTTCAGAATCAGATCCTGTCAAGCCACCCGCTAGCATGAGTATTGACAGTGCAAGTGGGAGGTGGGTGATTGGTGCATTTCATTCACGGATGAGTCTGAAAGAGCTGGCAGCTCAGTTGGGGATAGCCTTTGTCTCAGTTGCCTGAATACCACTGAAGGGGGAGGCAAAACACCACCACCACCACCTAGCAACATGTGAAAAGGCGAGGGGGATGGGAAACGCTGCAAACGCATTTTGAGGACTTACCGCTGGCTAGCCACAGCTGCCTCTGTGTGATCCTGAAGCTCTTTGCCACATGTCTCTGGAAGCAGGAAGCAGAGGATTCCTGCAATCACTGGAGTGCTTCCCAATATCACCATGGAAATAGCGGGACGGTACTTGTCCAAGAGACTAATCAGAGGGGAGATGATGCCACCCACTCTGGATGACATTGAACATAAACCCAAACCGGTCTGCCTAGTAACAGAGGAAAGCAGGGATGGTGTGAACAGGATGCAGTAGAAGGTCTTTGCTTATGGGGTTGTCTCCAGTGGTCTAGATCCTTGTTCTGTTCTGCAGCGTGGCAGAATCCCAGTTCAAGCCCTGATCAGTGCCCTACTTCCCAGGATGTTAAGTGATGCTGGAAGTCAATCAACAGCCTCTTGTCTTTAAATATCTGTGGAAATCTCCCATCTTTGCATTACCATCAGTAGGGGCAATATTGTAGATAGGGCTCCAATGTTTGGAGAAAGCTGCTTAAAACCACCACGGGGCTCAATTCAGTGGGGTCTTGATCACTGACTGTAATTGATGATTGGGAAAAAAAACAGTGGCCAAAGGAAGGTGTTTTCCAAACAGGTTAACTTGATGAAACAATCCACCAGTGGGTAGATGGGAGGAAAAACTAGTGGATTCTGTTTTTGAGGAAAATAGTCAGCCCAGCTCCATGCTCCCAGGCCATGCTGCCTCTCAGACAGTAAGGGATGCAGGTGGTCATCCAGTCTGGCATCTTGTCTCAATTCAAAGCCATTAATACAGAGCAATACAAGGATCCCGTCTCTCTCTATCAGTATGTCTGTGACCCACACCACCATAGCATCTTGGATTCAAATTAATCCATTTGATTTTTAGATCAAAACTGGAGACTGACCACTGCCTGTTCTACAGTTGCGGAAAAGGTGAGAGTGGGGCTGCTGAGCAATTAGAGTGGACTATAGGAGGAAGGGCTATTTTTTCATCAGGGATTGATCCAAATCATCTGGAATCATATCAAATAGAACTCTCTGGACTTTCTGAGCCACTCTTTAGTTCCTGAAAGCCTCCATTACCAGTGAAAATAATAAAACCCACCTAGTGGTGAAAATAGCCTAAGGATTTCAATCTTAGAGTATACCCAGTTCCTGGGCAAAGGCATCATATAAAAAAAAAAGGAAGGAGAGCTCACCTGAGAAGAGTGGGGAACAGCTCTGCACAATACACATAGGAGGTATAAAGAGAGGCCGTGATGGCAAACTTCCCTATCACAGCCAGCGTCGTGACCACCACCGGCAAATCTGGTGGCAAAAGGCGATACTGTTATACAAAGCTTATATGGGGGGAGGGAAGGGGGGAGAGGAGAGGGAGCACAGTTAGGGCTGCCCCATACGGGCCTGCCAGGAGGCAAAGCTAGCATACATGTACCACTACACTAAGGAACACACCTCCAATGGGAATCACCAGAATCAGCTTCAAAGAATGGTTCCAGTCTGGAAAGTGACTGCAGAGATGGCATCTCCGAGTTTCACGTTTATCACGCCTCCCCGATTCCTAGATCAAATGCATTCAGTGTACCAAGTGCCAAGAGCCTTTCCCTAGCGACCTGCCCTACAAACTCACCCTGGATTCTGAAAGGTAAGCTGAGTTTTTTTCCTTTTCATCACTATAACCGGTAATCAGAGATTGCCCAGACCAGATTATGCCCTCAGTTAGGGTGACCAGACAGCAAGTGTGAAAAATCGGGACAGGGGTGGGGGGTAATAGGAGCCCATATAAGAAAAAGCCCCAAATAACGGGACTGTCCCTATAAAATCGGGACATCTGGTCACCCTACCCTCAGTTATTCCTTCTAGCCCCTTACCTTCAGATCATGCTTTTATTTATCCTGTGTAACCCTCACCATCTTCACGTGCTCCCCCAATGACACTTGCGCAGCCCCAATGACTTCAGACTATGCCCTTATGGGCAACGGCACAATGAGGGGCAGAATTTGACCCTGCAATTAGAACTTTTGCAATTGTGCGAGTGATTTATTAGCCCAATTAGAATCCAGTTCCCATAGATGTCCTGGATCTGCAGAATCAACAGGCGTGAAAACTTATTTTTGGCATTGAAGTCAGCAAATGCAACTTGAGACACACACAGGGAGTCAATCCATGGGGTAAGAAGGCATCCGCTGTACACAGTCACTTGTCAGACTAGAACCACACTTTACAGAATCCCCAAGGTTTCCAGTGCAACTTCAGCCAACTGCCAGTAAGTAAAGACCAACTTTTATTAGGTGATCAATTGTAGCCGCTCTTGGATGATAGTTTGAGATAAGTTACACTGTAATACGCTCTAAGAGCCAGACAGAGAGGTGCAGTGAATCATCCAGGTGAAGTCAGCAGAGATCTATCAGCCGCTGACTTCACTGGATTTACACGAACGTCAAATTTAGCTCGTGATGCTTCAGAGGGAGATTTTCAAAGGTACAAATAAGAATTATGCCCTCAATTCCAATTAACTTTCAGTGGGAGCTGGTTGCAAAACTGCCCTTTGTGTCTTTGAAAATCTTTCCCATTATATTCTTTTTTCTTATTTTTATGATTACTTCTTATTTGTTATTATGGTAGCACCTAGGAGCCCCAGTCACAGACCAGGACCCCACTGTGCTAGGCGCTGTACAAACACAGAACAAAGTGACAGCCCCTGCCCCACAGACCGTACAATCTAAGTACGAGACAAGAGAAAACAGAAACAGTGGAGCACAAGGAAACAATGAGACAGTACTGTGTAAATAGACCAGACAGAGACAGGGTGGGGACAGGGGTAGAATATACAAGCAAAGTGATCAATGTGATGTTGGCTAATGGCACATTAGTGCCACAATTTTGGAGGGGAGGAGGGTCACTTAGGAGGGGGATCAGCTACATGGAAAGAAAAGGGAAGGAAAGGGGGAGATGGGACAGTGCAGGGGAGGAGAGGCATAAGAACAGCCAAAATAGGTCAAAACCAATAGTCCATCTAGCCCAGTATCCTGTCTTCCAACAGTGGCCAATGTCAGGTGCCCCAGAAGGAATGAACAGAACAGGTAATCATCAAGTGATCCATCCCCTGTCGTCCACTCCCAGCTTCTGGCAAACAGAGGCAGATGTGGAGTAAAGGTGAGGTGACGAGAGGGAGGGGGAGAGTTGAGGCAAACAACCAGTCAGCACTGAGCAGAGTCAGTCAGAGAACAGTCGTACAGTTTTGGCTGGAACGTCCAGAAGTCCCCTACTTGGTCCTAGTGCACCCGGAGCGAGGGGGTCTGCAGAGTTCTGGGTCCAGAGAGCTGCTGGGAGATGGGGTGGCCCCTTTTAGTTTAGTTAACTAGCACAGGGGATTCAGATTTTCTAATCTACCTACCCAGATGCCAGCAGGCTACTGTCGCTACTCAAATCTCTGGCTCTGCAACAACCCCAAAGCATCGGCGAAGGCTGAAGCAAGCATGAATCGCACCAGCCCGCTTCAGTCCCTTTGAAAAGTGCTAGAACAGAACTATGGCATCAGCATGTTCTAAAGAAAGCTGTAACGGGTTTCCCTGCATCTTGTACGGTGCTGAGCATACTGCCGGCACTTCCAAAACAACAACAGGGGAAGGCGGTGAGATCACAGGCAGCAGGAGAGAAAAGAAGAGGGAAAAAATGAGGAGGGTGGAAGGAAAAGAAAAACACTGACAGCCCTTAAAAACTCCTCCTTGGCCTGCAAGAGGCAAGTGTCTCCTTGACAGGCACACCACGTTGTTCCACGGAGCTTGCCTGCCAGACATAGGAGCTGACTCCGTGGGTGCTCCAGCTCCGGAGCACCCACGGGGAAAAATTAGTGGGTGCTCTGCACCCACCAGCAGCCAAGCTCCCCGCCCCACCTCATATCACCTCTGCCTCCTCCCCCGCATCCCTGCTCCTCCGCTTACCTCCCAGCACTTGCTGCCACCAAACAGCTGTAGCAAGCTCTGGGAAGGAAGGGGGAGGAGCGGGAATGTGGTGCACTCAGGGGAAGAGGCAGGACCGGGGCGGGGATTTGGGGAAGGAGTCAGAATAGGGGCAGGGAGGGGGCAGAGTTGGGGGTGGGGACTTTGGGGAAGAAGTTGGAATAGGGGCAGGGAGGGGGCAGAGTTGGGGCGGGGACTTTGGGGAAGGGGTTGGAAGTGGGGACAGGAGATGGCAGGGCAGGGGTGGGGTCGGGGCAGGGCCGGGGGGGGGGGGGGTCAAGCACACACCGGCGCCAGTAGAAGTTGGTGCCTATGGAACCAGGAATGTAAAGAGAGAAGAAAGTAAGACTAAGAAAATCCAGAAATTCGTCTGAAATGGAGCCATGTGGGTGCCATCTCCGGAAAAGGTGGCTCAGGCATTGAAAGCAAGTGTGAGGAGCCAATAGAGAGGGCCCCAGTCAGCTGAGCTATGAAAGGAAAGAAAATGGAGGACAAAGGAACGTGTCTGGGACTCAACTGCTCCAGGTACCGGGTAGGTTGGGCTGCACTCCAGGGACTTGCTGTGTACCTTTGGGGATGCCGGTCATGATGAGACACATGGCTCCGCCCAGCAGCAGAAAGAAGCTCTGGCATTTCTTCCTCCCAAACCACTGCAGCAGGAAGATACAGCCGAAGCGAGCTGGTATTTCAACAGCCCCGAACACAAGCTGCGCCAGGTAAATGTCCAAGCCAAAACTCCCCACGTTAAGGCTCAGGCCATAGAACACCAGGCTGTTCACAAACCTGAAAGCAAAGCAGAGGAGAGTAGAGCGTATGCATCTCCAGGAGTGTGGTTAGCGTTAGGTGACCCCTGTTTCCATGGGGAGGGGAAACAGCCACTCCTTGTGCTATAGAGGAAGTACTCCATGAAAGCCAAGGCATGGAGTGCTGGACGACCCAGTGAGGGAGGTAATAGCAAAATGGCTGCCACTGAGCCTGTAAGCAAATCTTCCAGCAGCTGTGAGAACCCGGGGAAGTGCTGAATATCCCTGGGAAAGGTTCACACAGCAATTTGTGCTGAATATGAAAGCCACAGGGGCAAATAAACTGGAGAATGAGCAAAAAGGTTGCCCTGCTCTTAACAGTAGCAGACACAGAAGCCCTAGGTGTATACAATGCATTCCAGGTGGGGAAAGAGAGGAAAGGTTTGCAAAAATAAAGCAAATGTTGGAGCATCATTGTGTCATTAGAAAAAAATGTTACTTGTGAAAGATATATATTCAGGATGGGAACATAGGATGAAGAGAAACAATAGAGAGGTTTGTTAGAGACTTACAAACAGGTCTGCCAATATGGAATACTAAAAGATTCTCTCATTAAAGGCCAGAGTGTCCTGGGATATACCAATAAACAAGCCCATGAACGGTCACTAAGGAAGATGAATCTGACACTAGAAAGGGCAATATGTTTATGCCAAACAGCAGAACAAATACAAACCCTAGAGAAAGTCACAAAGCATATGACTCAGTAGCAGAGCTAAGCCAGCAAGGAAACGGTTCACAGACATTAAAATAGAAAACAGGAAACGATGCCAACGATGTGGCAACCAGCATGACCATAGTGTTGTACTTAAAGTACTGCACAGGATCTTTTCAGGGGGAATAAGACAAAACGCCACATTTATTAGTGATACATGTATTCATTAACACTGTATTATATGCATATAATATATTGTTAATGAATACATGTATCACTAATAAATGTG